CCTCCCCTCCTTCTCCCCTCCTCCTCCTCACCTTCCTCTTCCTGTCATCCATATCAGAGCCCGCAGACTGCCCCAATTTGGCCCGGGGTCCTTTCCAAAGACCTAACTCATCTGTGCCTGCTTCCGAATGGTCAGGAACTCAGGGAAAGAAGCACTGGGGCTCTCCAGGCTCCGTTTCCCGCTGGCTTTATTCTGTGTTGCAGTTGAACGTTTTCCCGGATGTCCATTTGGTTTCTGTGGGTTTTGAGGATGGATCCGCGCTCTCATTCTGATGAAGTTCCCTGACCCACTGTTCCGCTTTCAGTATAACCTCCCCGGCTTATTCGTTAGGTCCTTCTACTTCATTTTGTACTTTATCGATACTTTCAGTCACTTCCTGTTCTCCTCCCTCGCGTAGAGGGCCAGGCATCGTTGGACTGGAGGTGTCTGTCTGGGCTTCTTGGCCAGAGGGGTGAGGAGACTTGGAGGTGCTTGGAGGCCGAGACCCAAGGGAAGGCCCAGCACCGCCCAAGTGTTGTCTCAGGCCACAGGAGGCAGCTCGGGAACTCCTCCTACTTTGCAGGACCAATTGCACATGATAGTCAACGAATTAAAATGAAACACACACACATCTATACATATATAACAAGAAAAGTGTGCAAACAACTAAAGTGGGAGTTCAAATAATTTAGAGTTAATCGATGAGCTGTTCTATAGTTACATATGTCAATTTTGACTTTATTTCAATTTTTTGTTGTTGTTGTTTGAGATAGGGTCTCACTACATAGCCCAGCCTGGCCTCAAACTCATGGTGATCCTCCCGCCTCAGCCTCCCAGAGTGATGAGGTTACAGTAGGTGTGCAGGACAAGGCCTGGCTGAGTCCCTCTTTTTGGAATCTTCCTTTGGGACCCATTTTAAAATTAACAGTCTGGAGGCTGGGGGAGCACAGAGGTATGGTGCATGCTAAAAATGTACATCCCTGGGTTACAGAGTATTTTATTGTAAAGGTGCATACTAATTTGTTTTCTCAGTGTGCGATTATTTCCAGTTCCTTTTGTTTGTCTGGGTTTGTTGTTGTTGTTGTTGTTTTTGAGACAGTGTCTCTTTATATAGTTCAATCAGGGTTTGAACTCATGGCATCCTCCTGCCTCAGCCTCCTGAGTGCTGGGATTACAGGTGTGCACCACCACACCCAGCTTCTCAGGCTAAATCTTTAATCCTTGTGTGGGTGTGGGTGTGGGGGGTGCTGTGGGTGGAATCTAAGGCTTTCCTCATGTTGGGAAAGTGCTACACCACAGAGCTACATCCCCAGCCCTTTTTAGGGCCAATTTTTAAAAGTTAATTTCTGGTTCTAAAAGTTTAAAATTTAAAAACCTCCAGAAAATAACAATCATTGAGAAGGACATGAAGTTTCAAGTCCTGCGCACTGTTGGTAAGAATGTAGAGAGGCACAGTCATGGGGAAAACAACTGCCTCTCAAATATCAAACAGAATTACCACATGACCTGGCAACTTCACTTCTGGGTGTGTATCCAAGAAAGGGAAAAACAGGGACTTGCGCAGTTTTTTGTATACCTGCGTTCATCCTAGCACAGATCATTTAGCTGAAACCTGGATGCAACTCAAGTGCCCATCAACAGATGTATCAGATGCATGGTATATCCACACGGTGGAATATTACACAGCCCTGAAAAGAAAGGAACTCTGACATATGCTACAGTTTGGGTGAACCTTGAGGACATGCACCCTCATAAATCCAGCTGTTTCGACAAAAAAGAAAATATGTGCAAGGGTAGATAGAAACAGAGACTGCTGCATAGACTCCTTAGTGTGTATCATGGTGATAAGATTTCATGGAAAGCACAGGCTTTGGCAGAACATCTTTGCTTGCTTTCTCTCTTTTTTCTTTTTGGTACTGAGGATTGAACCCAAGGTCTTTGCATGGAGCCACATCCCCAGACCTTTTTGTTTTTCATTTTGAGACAGGGTCTTGCTAAGTTTCCCAGGGTGGACTTGAACTTGCTATCCTTCCTCCTGCTTCAGCCTCCCAGAGTGCTGAGGTTACAGGCATTTGCCACCATGCCCAGCTGAG